AGGGAAAGCTATGGCAAACCTAGACCACATACTAAAAAGCAGAGACATCCCTTTGCCAACAAACGTGCGTAGAGTCAAGGCTGTGGTGTTCCCAGTTGCAACGTATGGCTGTGAAAGTTGGACCCTAAGGAAGGCTGAGCGCCAAAGAATGGAGGCCTTTGAACTCTGGTGTCCCTCCTCCGAGTCCCTTGGACAGCAAGGCCATCCAACTGGTTGGTCCTAGTGGGGATCAACCCTGGCTGCTCTATACAAGGCCAGATCCTGAAGATGAAACTCTACATACTTTGGCCACCTCATGAGGAGGAAGGGCTCCCTGGAGAAGAAGAGCCGAATGCTGGGAACGATAGAGGGTAAAAGAAGAAGAAGAAGAAGGGGACGGCAGAGAAGGATGGATGGAGTCCCTGAAGCAGACGGCGTGAGCTTCAATGGACTCCGGGGGATGGAAGAGGACAGGAAGGGCCTGGAGGAACGTGGTCCATGGGGTCACGATAGGTCGGACAGGACTTTGCAACTAGCAACAACAAAAGAGCTTTGGCCACTTTAGGCCTGGGGACTTCAACTCCCAGAATTCCCCAACCGTGGCTGCTTTAAGCCTGAAGGACCAACTCCCAGAATTCTTCAACCTTGGCCACTTTAAGCCTGGCGGACTACAACTCCCAGAATTCCCCAACCTTGGCCACTTTAAGCCTGGAGGACCAACTCCCAGAATTCTCCAACCGTGGCCGCTTTAAGCCTGGAGGACCAACTCCCAGAATTCCCTAACCGTGGCCGCTTTAAGCCTGGGGGACTACAACTCCCAGAATTCCCCAACCGTGGCCGCTTTAAGCCTGGAGGACTACAACTCCCAGAATTCCCTAGCCAGCTTTGGGAGTTGAAGTCCTCCAGGCTTAAAGTGGCCAAGGTTGGAGACCTCTGGGCTAGAAGACCTCCAAGGTCCCTTCTAGCCCTGTGACTTTATGATTCTAGTCTCCTCTCCCCTATGGCCTTTTGAATACAGCCCAAATTTCCCAACCAGGAGCCTGTTTGGAAAGAAAGCAGCCTTTTCTTGGAGCGAGGCCCGGCAGGGGCTTCTTTTTGAGACTCAGGAAGCGAAGAGGGGCCGAGGCAAGGCTGATTCAGCCCACTCCCACTTCCCCCACACCAGCTGCAGGTGATGCAAAAACGGCCCCAAGTTGGGCAACCTCCGTTCTTGCACATTTGTGACCGCAAGGGGACTTGGCTGGGCCAGCTTCCAACCGTGAAGGATTTTCGGGGAGGGGAACAGAGCCTTAGAGATGAGCCCTTTTGCGGTCTACTGGCCCCCCCCTCCAGCTGCCCTTCCCCCAAAGACCCCCCATGAGAGAGGAGGCAGGCTGCAGGCCAGGGCAGGCAGCCCAGAGGTATTTCATGCCTCCAAAGAGTCCTCCACTCCTCCTCCTCCGCTCACAATAGAATCCCTTATGCCACCAGGCTTGAAAGTTCGGACCTGGACAACCTAGAACTATGCTGCCTACAGTCTGACCTACGTTTAGGACACCAAATTGTCGGCTTCAACGTCCTACCTGTCAACGAGTACTTCAGCTTCAACCGCAGTAACACCCGGGCAAACAACAGGTGCAAACTCAAAGTAAACTGCTCCAAACTCGATTGCAGGAAATACGACTTCAGCAACAGTGGTCAAGGCCTGGAACTCACTCCCTGACTCTGTTATTACTGCCTCAAACCCCCAAAACATTTAACTTTAGACTGTCTACCGTGGACCTCACTCCATCCTCAGAGGTCTGTAAGGAGGCGTGCATAAACACCCCAGCCTGCCTACCGTCCCTGTCCTACTGTTCCCATTTACTCATACTCGTTTATTATGTATATACTTATGCCTGTTTATACTTATATGTTTATATCTTATGTTCAAAGTTATATTTGTTTTCTCATACATGCTTGACAAACTAAATAAATAAGAAATAAGAAATAAATATGCAAGCAGGACAGCCCCTCTGTGTGTGTGTGTGTGTGCATGTGTGTGTGTGTCCCCAGAAGAAGGCGGAGGAGCGCTGAAACCTGTCAGCCTGCAGGAAGAAAGGCCGAAACACAGTGACAGCAGATCCCTGGGGTGGCAGCCAAAGGGGGAAGCGGCAGGAAGGCTCCGTGCAACCAGAGGCCGACTGCGGGCCCAGAAGGTTCAGCAGGAAGCCAAGAATCTGGGCCCGCGACAAGGCGTCTGGCACAACGGGTTGCCAAATGCGGCTCCTCCTCCCACAAGCCTTGAGGGGGGACGAAATAACCCCGTCGTCCAAGCGAAGGGCTCTCCAAGCCAGTAGCTGCAGCCCCAAAGTCCCCCTTCAAGGCCTGGCGGAGAAGGTGCCCCCTTCCTGCCCCTGAGAGGTGACGTCCCCTCTGAAGAAGCGAATGTGCTCTGGGCCACCAGTCGCCCAGCTGCCAAAGCGTTCTCGGCCTAATCCTTTTTGACAGCTCGTCTATCGTCCCTGGAGGAGCGACCTCCTCAACGCTGCCGGCTTTGGGGACAAAATGTAGCTTCCTCCCTGGATGTAATGTCAATTTTCCTGGTCAGGAAGGATGGTCGTCTTCCCCCAAGCATGGCACTTCTGGTTCGCAGGATCAGAATACAGAATAACAGAGCCAGAAGGGACCTTGGAGGTCATCTAGTCCAACTCCCTGCTCAGGCAGGAAGCCCTAGACCAGGGCTCTCCAGCCTTGGCCACTTTAAGCCTGGCGGACTTCAACTCCCAGAAGCAAATTTCTTTTATTGACTCTTTACTAGTATAATTTGATTTGATTGCTTATTAGATTTCCTAGTATGATTTGATTGCTTATTTATATCCTTTAACTACTAGTGTTATACCTATGATTCCTGACGAATATATTTTTCCCCCTTTTTATCAACACTGAGAGCATTTGCACCGAAACAAATTCCTTGTGTGTCCAATCACACTTGGCCAATAAAGAATTCTATTCTTGTGCAGAAATGAGTAGATTAATGTTAGCAATTAGAGAGCAAGAAGAAAAAGAACATTTTAAAATATGGACTTTATTTTACCAATGGTTAGATAGAAATATAGGAAATTGAAGTATAATACAATAGCAATGATATGTTATAGTTGATTATTATGGAATGAATTACATGAATTAAATTCAGTAAGAACTGAGATTTGCTCTAAAGGATAATGTGGATTTGAAATTATAGTCTAATGATGATGTAACAATAATATAATACGACATGGAAAGTTGATTAATATGAATGTAAACTTAAATCTAAGAGGAAAAGACTATAGATATTGTGCACAAGAAGTACAGTATATACCAACCCACCCGCTGTGTAATTGAAAGCAGGTTTTATTTGTTGTTTTATGTTTGTCTGTTTGTTAAAAATTAAAAAAAACTTTTTATATAAAAAAATAAATAATTCTATTCTATTCAAAGCTGGCTGGGGAATTCTGGGAGTTGAAGTCTGCCAGACTTAAAGTGGCCAAGGTTGGAGACTCTGATTAGGCAGGGCATTGCATGCCAAAACAAGCAGACCCAAGGACGGTTTTGTCCTCCCCCCAGCATCCCTCTGCTAAATAACTATTTCCCACAGCACTGCTATGCCCTGGGATGTCAAACCACCTAGTAGGGCTCTATTACTATTATCCTTCTCCTCTTTCCTACTACCCATTTCCTTAGCTTCTTATGACTATCACTTGGTTGTTTGTACCTTATGACTTAGGTTGATGGCTTTTATTGAGTATCCTAAGGCCATCACTGAGTGTAGTACCTTATGATTTATAATGATGGTATTTTATGATTATGATCATGGTCTATCACTTGCTGCTTGTATGTGCACTGAGAGCTTCTGCACCAGAGATGAATCCCTTGTGTGTCCAATCACACTTGGCTAATAAAAAACTGAACTCTACTCTTCTCTTCTACCCTACTCTTCTACTCTAGTCCTCTATCCTACTCTACTGTTCACTCTACTCTACTTTTCTACTCTACTCTTCTACCCTACTCTACTCTTTACTATTCTACTACTGTATTCTTCTACTCTGCTCTGCTCTACTCCTCTCCTCTTCTACTCTATTCTACTCTACTTTTCTAGCCTACCCTACTCTTCTACCCTACCCTACTACTCTACTACCCTACTCTTCTACATTCTACTACTCTACTCTTCTACCCTAGACTACTCTACTACTCTACTCTGGTCTACTACTCTACTCCTCTACTCTATTTTACTCTTCCACTACTCTATTCTATTACTTTTTTACTCTATTCTACTGCTCTACTATCCTATTCTACTGTACTCTACTCTTCTACTTACTCTACTACCCTACTCCTCTACTCTATTACTCTGTTCTGTTCTGCTCTACTCTACTCTACTCTAATGCCGCTCATCTGGTGGGGACCCCCGAACGGAGCGCGGTACCACTGCAACCCCCTGGCTTTGCCACAGGTCCCCCTTCCTCCCCCCCCCCGCGGGGCGGGTGGTGGCGTCCCTCCGATCGGGTAGCCCCGCCCCCCCATCTGCAGCACCTGCGATTCCACCGCCGCGCATCGCCCCCGGACAGCCGGCGAGAGAAGCCACGCCCCCGCTCTCCCATTGGACGAGAGCGCCGCTCGTCTGCCGTGAGGGCCGGACTGAGAAGCCCGGCTCTGGCGATCCACGGACACCGTCGGGCGAATCGAAGGCCCAAATGCCCCGGTGCGGGGAAAGGAAGGGCTCCTCCCGCCGCGCTCTCACCCTCTCGTAGTCTAATACAAGCGACGGAAACGTTGGCGGGCAGGCAAGGGTTAAGGCCCGCCTTCTGAGGCGGAGGACTCCCCGCCCATCCACCCCAAGCCCCGCCCCCTGCCCGGACTCGCCCCGCCCCCTCGCCCGCTATTGGCGGCCGCGCCGAGCGGGCGCGTTTAAAAGGGACTACATTTCCCGGCGGGCGCTGGAGAGGGTTTGCGTGCCTGCGGGGAGAGAGAGAGAGAGAGAGAGAGAGAGCGAGAGCGAGGGCGCGTGCGGTGGGCGGAGCTACGGCGTCCCCGAGGCGACGCGGCCGGGCGCTGGCGGCGGAGGGGGCGTGGCCCGGCGGGCGGCGAGCAACGGGCGGCGACGAGGCGGAGGGGGAGGAGGTGGCGGAAGGCGCCGCGGGGTCCGCGCTCCCTCCGGCCGCCCCGACAGCCATGGGCGAGCGGGGCAACGACGGCGGCCAGCAGCCGAAGAGGCGGGCGGGGACCGGCTCTCGGCAGCCCCCCGGCGGAGCGGGAGGGGCCAGCCCGGCCCAGCGCGGCGCGGGGGATGGCGCGGATCCTTTCTCCGACGCCGACTTCAGGTAACGAAGGTGCCCGCCCCCCCAGCCCGCGGCTGAGGGGAGGGGTCGTGGGGGGGGGTGTCTCCCAGCTGTTTCTGCCTCTGGAAGCCCCCCTGAAGGGGGAGTGGAGAGCTCAGACCCCCACGGGGAGGGGTTGGCTTTGGGTTGGCGAGTTTTTAAGAAGGGGCTGTCTGGAATTGCAGGGTATGGGGTCTCCTGTTTGAGTAGGGGGTTGGGCTAGAAGACCTCTAAGGCCCTTGCCAGCTGTATTGATTGATGGATTTGCCCATCGCTTGCAAGCTAATAGGTATAAGTACAAACACGGTTAGGAATACAGGAAATAGGTGCAATAATTGGGGCAATAGGACAGGGACCATGGTGCCCTTATGCACGCCCCTTACAGGCCTCTTAGGAAAGGGGGGAGGTCAATAGGGGATAGGTTGAGGTTCGAGGAGTGGCGGGTTAGAGGATGTAACAGCAGAGTTCCAGGCATTGACCGCTCCGATTGAGAGGCTATATTTTGGGAGGGGGGGGGCTTATTTCTTCTTCCTGCCTTTTTTTCAAATCCAAAATTCTGCCCTGGGAGAGGAGCTTCCCAGTTGTAAAAAGGGAAAGAGAGAGAGAGAAACACACCCCCAGGCCTTTTGCTTTTTTTGGCCAAGAAAGCGACCGCGAGGAGGAAGCGAGTTCCTCTTCGAGAGCACGATTGCCTGCGGTTGTTTGCACTGGGTTCAAACTGGTTGCCTCAACCTCTGGCAACACCCATGCAGCCTTCCACGTCAGGAGGGCTTGACTCACGTGCTTGGACTTTGTGCCAGAAGTTGCCAAGACCTTTGGGCTTCCTTGCAAAAAGGCGTCTGGTATGATGCGCCCACACTCTCACAGACAGACCCCCCAAGCCTGGCCAGGAAAGTTAGGAAAGTTTTACTGGCTCTACAAGTCAATGACTCCAAAGCATAGTAAGAACTGGCACACCCTTGGAGAAACTCTGTGTCATCAGTTTTGCAGGACAAAGGTGATCTGCATTTCAACAGGCTCCTCCTGATGTGGTGGTGGTGGGGGGAGAAAGGGGAGGGAGAGCAGCTTTCCCCCCTGCCTTCTCCTGGGGCCCTTGCCCTGCCTTGCCAAGAGTCCTATCACCCTCTCAGGGGCTGCTCCAAAGAAGATTCTGTTCTCCAAAGCCCCCCGAAGGCAGGGCAAGAAGCCCTGGGTGGAAATCCCTGAGGGTGTTTTTATCAAGAGGCAACTGGGCTTCCTTTCCTTTTTTCCTTGGAAGACGTTCTGCTTCTCATCCCAGGAGTTTCTTCAGCTCTTGCATTCTCCTCCATCCGGTCAGAACGGAAGAAGCTTTTCTTGGATGAGAAGCAGAATGTCTTCAAAGGAAAAAAGGAAAGGAAGCCCAGTTGCCTCCCGAAGAAGCACCTTTGGGACAGCTGTGACCTGGGTGACTGAGCATAGATGCTCAAAGGATGGAAACGAGTCAAAGAGAAGCAGCCTAGAACGGAGAAGAAACGTCTTGACAATGAGAACCATCGGTGGAAGACATTAACTCCAGAAGTTGTGGGGGGCCTCAACACTGGAGGTTTCTAAGATGAGACTGGACAGCCATTTGTCTGAAATAGTCTAGGGTTCCCTGCCTGAGCAGAGGGTTGGACTAGAAGACCTCCAAGCTCCCTTCCAACGCTGTCCTCCTGTATTCCTGAGCTTCGCCAGAGTTCAGAACCGCCCGTTTGGCTAAGTCAGTGATAGATTAGGCATTTGTTTTGCCAGGGAGTGAATAGCGGCAATTATTAATTCAGGCTAGTTAGTGGCAGGTTGCAGGGAGGGTTGGCACCGCACCCACGGTGCAAACAGGAGCGTTGGACGCTCTTCTGGGTCGGCTTGCAATGCTTGGCTGGTTTCTTCCTCTGATGCAGAAACTGGCTCCCTGGGTGCCGTTCTCTGGGCGAGGTGTTTGTTTTGAGGTGCCCGGGCAAGTGCTGCAGAACCGCAGCCTTGACGCCCTGGCAGGCATAACTGTCGGCTTGGGTGGTTTATCCATGACCGGTACTGGGAACAAATTGCACGCTCGGCATTTGCATAGGAGCCTCCGGGCTGCAGGTGCCCAGGTCAGGATCCTGCGTTGCCCGGGCTTCCCCTTTGGCAGGAGGCAAAATCTGGGTCGCTTTGTCTGTCCCAAGAGAAGGTCCCGGAGGACGGGCTCCAGCACCAGTCCAAAAGCTTTGGAAGAAGAGGAAACTCCGGTCCCAGAGACCGACTTGGATTAGACCCTGCAGCGTTATCCTGGATTTGCCATCGCTTTGTTTTGCCAGGGGCACCGCTTGAAGACCCAGCCTGCCCTGGGTTCGAGTGCTCGGATAGTCGTGGGAAGCCAACAGGGAGGCTCAGCGTGTTGGGCTGGGCTTTGGGGGCAGCTCCAGCTGACTCTCTGTGTGCTGGGGCTGGAGGGGGCCTGGAATAGGAGCCCCCTCCCCCGGGTTTCCTCCTGGCAGGGAAGAGCTGGGGCTGCCTTTGGGGGGTGGAGGGGAGGGCCCATGTCCTGGGGGGGGGGGGCTTCCCTCTTCAAAGGAAGCCTGATCTGGAGCTTCTTCCCTTCTCAGGAATGTGGCTCTGTGTGTGTGGCTGGGGTGGGGACAGAGCCGCTTGCTACCCCGATGAACAGGCTCGGCCAGATAGCAGAACAGCCTGAGAAACGCACAAGGGTCCAAGGTGATTGCCCCTCCCCCACCTCCACAGGCTCTCCTGCTTAACGGGTCCCTTAATAAGCCCGTTTGGCTCTGTTGTCCTTCACCCTAGTTGGGGGTGGGGGGTCTAGGTGAGCAGGCAAGTTGTGGGGGTAGAGATTCCAGTACAGATGCAGGAACTGTTCCCTGCCGCCCTCTTCCCAGAGCAGCCAGCCGGCCAGCAGCTGTCTCCAAGGGGAGGCCCTGGAATTGTGCAGGACAGAAGTCATCTCCACCTCCCTTCCACAAGTTTGCAAATGAGCCACTCTGCCCCCACGGCCTCTTTGCAGCCCCCCCCGCTTCCAAAGCCAGGATCTTGGCACGGGTCCTCTGGGCAGCCTAGTCGGGCTTCGGTTTTCGATTGAAAGCCCACCTGGAAAGGTTAGTTGTGAGCAGCCTCAGGCGCCCCCACAAGACCCCCGAGAGCTGTGGGCCACGGGGGGTGGGTGTGTCCGAGCGGAGGAGTTGAGGTCCACCAGTCTTAAAGCTGTCAAGTTTGATGACCCCGGCCGTAGAGTTTCTGCTGGAGAGGTTTCCAGAGTTGGTCCTTCTGATTAAAGGACACGGAGGAACCTATGAAGCGGCTGGGTGGCTTTTGCTACCACGTCCCCTTTTCCTGACCTCCTGCCACTTTGTGACTGGGAAGCCACAGGAACACCACCC